GGGGAAAAAATAAGAACCAAGAGAGATTATGTAAAGGTGCAAATTTCCAATGATGAATGTCATTATATTGTATACCTAAAATGTACCAATAAAGACTTGCCCCAGAAAAAAATTTTTTTTAATAGCTAAAGACAAGTTATAGAAGATTTATAGTGAGACAAAGGAAAAATATTAAGGCTATAAGTAAAAGAAATATACTTTTAGGCCAGGGATTTAGCTCAGTGGTTCTGCCGCCTGCCTCACAAGTGCAAGGTCCCGAGTTCCATCCCTAGTACCAAAAAAAATAAAAAAAGAAATACACTTTTGATATGAAAAGATTTTGTATGTTTGTCTTGTTAGAAGAATAAAGAGAGATATACAAAACAAGAAGGCCTAGATACATCGAGAAGGTGTGAGGAAGTGACTTATCAAGGAAATATGTTTGTTTGCTTGTTGTTTTCAAGTTTGTTACAGAAGGTGTGCATTTACAGGCAAAAAGACCTTTCATTCCTTCTGATTCTAATTCTACAAGAGATCTCTGTTAATTGACTTACAAAAAGTTTTGACTAGTCTTATAGTTATGAACCTAAAAGTTACAAAAGGATATTCTCAAAAAATTCTGTTTATTCTTGCCGATAGGCTCCCAAACTCCAAGTGATCATATAGAAAATAATCAAAAACAAATGAGCTAGTTTTTAACAAAATCCAGCAAATTGACCTTATAAAGAGAGATTATAATTACTAAATCACCACATGATTTTTATTTAAGGTCTATTAAATTAGTTCCCTAGAAGGAGCCTCTAACTGCAGTACAACTGTGCCCTTTCTCCCCTAGCCACAGTGCTCTTTATGGAGGCAATTATTGAGGACACCTGAGTCAGTTGGCCACATTATAGGTCCTTATGACATAGGGATGCCCTAAAAACACAATAACATAAACAAAAAACGGAGGTACAGCTACCTCCACAGGCTCAGTTGGATGTAAAGATGGATCTATGGATGTGTCCTGGACACTAGTGTTGTCAAAGTATGTACTAAAAGGTAAATGGCTCAATACAATTAATCACGTGGGGGCCAGGGAATGCTTATTTTTCAACAGAAAATAAAAAGATGCTGTGGCCATCATACCAAGATGATGGATTCACTGCAAGCAGCACAATGTGACACCCCTGCTGAAAGCCATGCAAAGGCTGCATCTGAGTGATCCCCTCACCTGCTACAGCCCTGGGACCTACAAAGATCACCAGACCTGATACAGCTGCCTTTTTCAAACAGAAAAGGGGGAAATGCTTGGGCTGAGCCTGAAGATGGTCCTTCACCTCCTCCCTATTCCCTTTC